CATTTCTCTGGTGAATCCTAATAAACCATTCCTGTCTTGATCCACAGCTTTCCCTCCCTTTCCCTCCCCTTCATTATGCATCCCTCACATGTTCCTGCGTGTCTCTTGAACTTTACTACTCTAGCCCTCATTTTATTTTGGTTGTATTTAGCAAGCATGTTCTCCAGACTATAGATCAGAAGACATGGGCTGGGGTAGGGGGTGGGGACAGAAATTTAAAACATGTGAAACAAAACCCCCAGTGATACACCATTAAATGAACGCAGGTCTCCTGGGTCGTGGGCCTTACAAAGGTGAAACGTTAGTGACCTTCAGGGCACATGAAGAGGTCCCAGAATTGCTGCCTTTCTGATTTTCAGAACGGTAAGGTTGAACCTGCAATCCATAGCCTAGTGAATTTTAGGTCCATGCTTGGCAAGATGACTGATCATTGATTGGCTTTTGAACTAGGTTGAGATCCACTACAAGCCACTCATCTCCTTCCGACAGACAGATCAAAGAGGTGCAGTAGCCACAAGAATACCTGGCCACTTCAACAAGGTACTTGGGATTCTGCTGTTATCTTTGTCCAAAAAGAATTAGGGCCAGGGTGCAAGGACAATTTAACTAGCAGCCACTCTGGGTTACTAGGATATATGCCAAACTTCGAGCCAACTTCTAGACGTAAGTTACTTGATTTTCTCCGGCCCAACAGTCTCAGATGGGAGGACAATGGAAAACTCTGGGCAACAAGCAGAATTCTAAAATATTGACAGGCTGCAGCAATGGACAGGTGCTGTGGTAAAATTTAACAGGGTAAGCACATAAGGTCCTGCACTTGAGTTCAAAATACCAACTTCTCAAATATAGGAAAGAGGAAGGGGGCTGGATTTTACTCAACCCAAACATAAGATGCAGTCCTGGGATGTGACCTGAAGGTGTCAAGCAGAGTCTGGGATTCTCCTTCTAGTCTGTGCTGCCAGTGAATGCCTGGGTGGAATGTCATGTGCTCTCTGTGGCCCCAGGCTTGAGCCAGGTTCTCGGAGAGCAGCCGGCGTGGGGGAAGGGCATGGCGCCATGGAAGCAGGATGTGCAGAGGCTGAGGGGCTGCAGTCTCTGGCCAGACACCCTGGACCCAAGGTCTTCTCCACCCTTGTGAGCTATGTGGGCAATTTATTTGTTTTCTCTAACACTCAGTTTCCTAATCCAATCTCATACATTGTTCTGAGGATGAAAGCAGTTCATGAACGTAAAGCCAATTCTGGCACACTGCGTAGCACAGAATAACTTTTTTTTTTGCCGCCGCGCAGCATGCGGAATCTTAGTTCCCCAACCAGGGATCAAACCCATGCCCCCTGCAGTGAAAGCGTGGAGTCTTAACCACCGGACAGCCAGGGAAGTCCCACACAGTAACTTTTTAATAAGTATCTGCTAATATTAACTGAAGAAACCCTAAGCTTTGCCAGATTCATAGTAACGTAACAGCTGCCTTCAAATATGCTAAGGGACCTTATATGGAAGCCAGAATAAGTGCTCTGAACCATCCTGGAGAGAAGTCGCAGGGAGGTTTCCCAGTTCTAGGTAAGGAAGGGCTGTTCGCTGAGCAGATGGCCGGCAGGTGGAGGTTGTGGTCCTGAGCGTTACAGCACGAGGCCCACGCCACTCGGCAGGGATGCTGTGGGGGAGGTCAAGTGCCTGATGGGTGCTGGACCTCTGGAGTCCCATCTAAACCTGAGAGTCTATGATTCTAGGACTTGTTCTCTTGGTTCCTCAGCCTAGAGATGTTCGGTTAGGGCTGTTCCTCACAGCCACCTGCACACTGAAAACCCCGGAGTCACCACTGAAGACTCCCATCTCAACGTCACTTAGCCAACCCCAAATTCACATTTTTTTTTTTTTTTTGCGCTATGCAGGCCTCTCACTGTTGTGGCCTCTCCCGTTGCGGAGCACAGGCTCCGGACGCGCAGGCTCAGCGGCCATGGCTCACGGGCCCAGCGGCTCCGCGGCACGTGGGATCTTCCCGGACCGGGGCACGAACCCGCGTCCCCTGCATCGGCAGGCGGACTCTCAACCACTGTGCCACCAGGGAAGCCCCCAAATTCACATTTATACTCCAAGTCAGGAGGGGGGGAGCTAAAACTAAGGAGGGCCCAGGCTGCCTTCGAGACTCGGTGGTTCGTGCCTTACCAGGATCAAGACCCTCTTTTATATAAAGAGAAAAATGCTAAAAGACAAAGACAAATACAGGCAAAGCCCAAGAAAACGCGCTGAGTTCGTCCTCCGCTCCCTCTCAGACGCCAGGCCCTCCCTCTATGAAACACAGGGGAACAGCCTCAGGGAGACCCCGGATGTTCCGACAGGGTCCTCTTCTGACGTGACCTGCCGCAGCTGGTGTTAACGTCGTACCCCAGCAAGTGGCAGGAGGGACGCTACCTGAAGCACCTGCCCAGCTCCTCTGATAAAGGCTGGGCAGCCAGTCCACAGATGTAAAACAGATGGCACCAGAAAAGCTCTGTGAATAAAACTTTAATAATGTACAGCAGAAATTGGACAGGCTCATTCTTATATTAAAACAAAAGATTTTCTATATTACAACTTATTTACATTTGCATACTGAAGAGGTAAAGTGTCTAAGTGGCTATTTTACAGTCCATTCTAATAAAATGTACAAAAACAAACAGAAGTACCGAGAATGCCGTTCGGGGGCCTTGACGGCGACCTAAGAACGGCCTTGGACTTGGTCTGTGAATCCAGAATCCAGAGGTGCAGGTAGCCCTATGGATCAGGGTTAGCCTCAGGGGGCCAAAACCACGGCTTTAGTTTCTTCCCAACTCTCTCACTCCTAACTCCTGGGTTAAGAGTGGTGGCGGTGGGGTTGGGAGCTTCCCCACAAAACTGCTCAGTCTTCCCCAGAGGTGGAGAAGGAGGAGTGTGTGGTGAGGACAGCAGGGCCACCGGGGGAGTGGGCTAGTGGCTTGGGAGCCCCTGGGTCAAGGAGTGTTGGCAGATCCCAGAGGCTGGCTGCGGCGGGGGAGAGGAGTCTGAGTTCCGTGATCTCCTCTAAACCGCCAAGTTCTGCCGCAGGGCGGGCGGACAGATGGGGCGTCGGCAGGGGTGGGGAAAGAAGGTCCCTCTAATGACACAATTGGTATTCGAGGGAAATTAGTCAGTAGCCAGTAAATTGGCTCAGAGGGTTAGGGGAAGATCTCCTTTAACGCAAGGAAAGAAGCGATAGAGCAGGAAAATAAATAGGAAGGCCAGGGCACTGGGGAGACCAATGGAAGTCGGGGGAGGGCTCTCCCCTCCTCCACAAGCTTTGGCAGAGAATCGCTGGGCTGGAGGCAGGGATGCTCTGAGGCTGCACACAGTCTGTGCCTCCCCTGGGGGCAGGAAGGGGGCTCCGGATGAACGCAGCGACTGGGGGGGGGGGTCTCACTGCCCACCACCGGCCTCTTTGGTGGGGGACAGGTGGGCATCCTCACTCCTTAGTGGTCTTATATAAGAGCGATCACTCCAGGCTCAAAAGGCTCAGAAGCAACTACAAAAACTTCTGGTCTCAAAACAGTCACCCACCAACTTGAATGGGTCCCGTGGTCGGCGCTCTAAGAGTAGGACCCAAGCCTGTCTTGTTCACAGCTGTATGCACTGCCTGGCATCCGGCAGGCACTCAGCGATGTCTGTAGCGTGAATGCCTGCAGGAGAAGCTGCAACCTGCTGGACAACGCACAGAAGGCTAGGGCCCCAGTGCAAAACCCACTTGTGGAACTGGGAGGGGAGGCAGAACGCAAGCGAGACCAACCCCCAGGGCAGAGGAACTCTTGCTACTGGGTGGGGGGAGCAGGCTCAGGTACAAGGACAGACATTTCCAGTGTGACTGAGCTGTGTGCGTTTGATTGAAGCATTTTTTTTGTGGTTGTTTTTATAGGGATTTCCTTAAAAACAAATAGATTGAGAGGTAATCATCACATAGAGATGGTTTTCCTTTTATAAAAACAACAATATTTAAAAAAAGTTAAAATCCAGACCCTCCCAATTAAATTAAAAAAAAAAAAAGAAAAGAAAGAAAAGAAAACCAAACCACTCCAGTTAAGTTATGGCTTCAAAGTTAATATATACCTAAGATATGCTGACGGAATCACCACCCACAACCGCGCTTCCAGACGTCGTTAAATACTACACTCAGGTTAAACAACAGGTTCAGCTTGGGCTGTTCCCTTTAGTAAAGCCCCTGAAGTGGATGCAAGTCTCACATCTTCCCTCCACCGTGATCAGATAATCCAGTAAAAGACCCATGCAGATGCCTCCCTCCCGCCCCAGACTCCCTCCCCACTCCTTGCCCCCCCCTTCCCTTCCCCACCCTAAATCCACTACCACCAAAAATATACACTGCTGTTTCCAGAATCTGGGATATGAAAGACAGATGTGACATTCCGATCTGAGTCCCAAGATCTGGGCTTCAAATTCCTCGGCCCTTCCTTGACGCTGCCGAGGACGATGCCCTTAGGCTGGCTCATTTCCCACGGTGGCCGGTGACCACAACACCCCAGACTTCCACCAAGATTCTCTCCCTGCCCATCCCACCCCGCCTCCCTTACATTTGGACCCAAAAGCCCTGCCTGCCACAGACAACCGGGCCAGCTTTGGTTCCACAGTCTGAAATGGAGAAGGGGGGCCAGGCGACACAGGGGAGGGAGACCCACTGTGGAGGGGGGCTTCTGGAAGGGAGGGGAGGGAGACCTCTGGGAGGGGCACCAGGGAAACCAGACGCTGCTCACTACTGAACAGAGGCCCCAGCACGCAGAGCCGGCATGACGACCACACCCCTGACCTGCACATGCACATAAAGCTCAAGCAGGTAAGTGCGCACCTACAGATACACACACACACACACACGCACGCACACACACACACACACACGTGTAAGGGCGTGGCACAGACCAGGCACAACAGGGGACGCACCTCGGCACATGCATACACGGCTGGACAGACGGGCACTGGCAGTCCCTCCAGGTGTCCCGACGGGGCGGAGGGGAGCATGAGGCCCGGCGCTGCCGAGAGGGGCCATCCTTCTGGTTCCCCGGGCTGCCTCGCTGCGCTGGGGTTGGTCCCAGAGGAAAGCCCTCGGTGCCGCTCAGCAGGGGCCACGCTCGCTCCTCCCGGGCCCTCCCAGGCCGCCCGTCACCACGCCAGGCTTCTCGCCAGGTGCGCCGGGCTTTGCAGAACTTCCCACTACAGCCGGTCCAGGCTGTGGCACTGAGTTCTCCACACCATTTGCTCTCATAGGCTCCGTGCCACTAGGAGGTAAATATAAAAGGTGTCTGTGTCTCAAACCCAATGTGGGAGTGAGCGAGTCTCCCGGGCTCTGTCCCTCTTGCGGGCCAGGCTCCTGGCCACAGAGGGCTGGGCAGAAACGAGAGGTAGGCCTCCATCGGACGCTCAACACGGCAGCTCGGCTGTAGGTCCCGCTGCCCGGCAGCGTGTGGGGAGAGGCAGCTAGATCTTCACGTCCTCCTGCACGCTGAGCTGGGAGAGGGTCTTCTTGATGCGCAGCGCGGTCAGGCGGGCCGCGCCGTTGGCGTACCAGCACTCCCGCATCATCTTCCCCATCACCCGCAGCGCCTGCACAGAGACCCGGCATCACTCGAGCCTGCCCTCGCCCCCACTGAAGCCTTCCTGGTCCCCAGGCGGCCGTCTCCCCAACCCGTGCTCCGCCCACCCCCCCGCCACCCCCTGCCCCGGGCCTCCCCCTTCCTTAAGGGACAGCCTGGGGAGGGGGACCTTCTCGGCAAGCATGGTTGGTCAGCCACTGCCTGGCGTCTGGGTGATCCTGAGAGAAATACCTGCAACGGCCTGTGATCTGAAAATCATTTCTGGAAGGTTTGAGTATCCGTGTCTATGACTGTTTACTGACTGTTCTTTGTAAAGCAGCGCACGAGCCAGGCACAGCAGGGACATCCCCCAGCATGAGCACACACGCAGCTGTGACCCCACGTTCATGTGCAGAGACAGGGTGGCGGAGGAGGAGGCAGCAGCCCCTGAGAGGCAGCCTCGTCAGAGGCAGAAGCTCACGGCCAGGGCCCGGACGACACAGGCCAGGGGGCAGCCAAGGGGCGGACCTGGAGGGTCACCTGTGGAGGGCTACGGAGTCCCCAGACTGCTGCCTCAGGCCAGTGTTTTCCAGATTCCTTTTAGCAGTGGGACCCGTTTTCCCCAGCGGAGTCCCAACACACAAACAGCCCCGACTGAAGAGGGAGTGGGGTGCGGGCAGCTGGAGACCAGCTCTTTCTGCTTCCCTCACCCTCTGAAGTGAATAAACCCTGAGGGTTCCAAGGAACATTTTGGAAAAGGCTGCTCTGTCAGGCAAAGAGGAGCTCAGTAATTCTGTTCTTCAACGCAGGCCTGCCCTCCAGTGGATACACTCCTTAAAGCAGAGCCACGAGTGAAAAGGGGGCCCAAGAGCACTAGCGAAGCAAACCCTGTGCCGCCAAAGACTCCAAGACCCCACAACTCCATGTTTCTTAGGAATCTAGATCATAAATTTGTCCTCATTTCTGTTATTGCCATCGAATGCCATCCCCTCCCCGCTTTGTCCGCCATCACTCCCCAACCCAAATTCTCTACACCCTCGTCGCTTGTGAGTTTTTAGAAAGGCCACGTGCCTCGCAGACACGTCTTCTCACTGAGTCCCACCCCCTCATTCTTCTATACACCCTTCGTGGACCCCTCTTCTGAACTCTTCCACGAAGCTCAGCTCACCCCTGTGGCTCCAGAGCCATTTTCCTAGGTGGACAGGTCTAACAGCTCCCACTCAGTCTTTGTTTTGTCTCTTATCTGTGTCCTGGGACCAAGCCTTTTTCTTCTTCTAGGCTGTCAATTCCAAAGGGGACCCTACAGTGCCCAGGACAAGGGCTCAGTATATAATACAACAGCACATAATAGTTTGCAACAACCGACACGCTCAGGGGGGTAGCCCTGGGGTTGGCCCCACTTTTGGCAAACCCTCTTCTAAGGGAGAGAAATCGGGCAGATAGAAAGGCCACGGGAGAGAGGGGAACTTCCCACCTCATAACTCTGCCACCAGTTGGGGATGTTGGGGCGGAGCTTCTGGTCGCATACGACCTTCCGCATCTCCTCAATGGAAGGGTCAGAGGGCACTAGGTCATAATATGGCAGCTGATATTCCTCATGGACTCCTGGGAGAAAAGAAAACGTCCACCGGAGTTATCAAAAGAAGGAAGAGATTACTCAAAAAGCCAATGACAACACTCATGTTGTGATCTGTAAATACCACTTCCCACTAAGAGGAACTAGGGCTCCTGGGAGAGCCTGGTCAGTGCTAGTTATGGGACAAGAGACACACAGCATTAGCCAGGAATATCTTTTCCGTAACAAAAAGCTAGGAAACTATCAAAGACTACTGAGGCCATGTCAAAAGGTACTGACCTGAAAAGCTCCCAACTGGCCAAAGATGAGAACATTTAAGCAACAGTAAGACCTATGACTTCAATGGAAACAAATATTTTAAATCACCAGTTCGTGATGACACTAAAAACAAACAAATAAACCAAAACCTCCGTCGCCTTTGTAGGATGAGAGGGAATAAACTCATTATTTTGAAAAATGGCAAATAAATGGAAAGAATCAAGTATTTTTCCTGTCTTTCCTCTTCAAATTAAACATCTTGGTAACCAAACAGACAATCGGGGAAGTTTCTCTTTAAAGAAAAAAATCTAGCTAATACATGAAGATTGACAGGATCGGAACACTGGCATTTTCAACCTCTAATACATTTGGATATGAACAATGACCGACAATAGCTGTTAACATCACAAAAAGAGAGAGAACCACCATTATATGTGTCTTTTAACAGAAGGATTTTGGGGGGAAAAAATGATTCTAGTCTTTAGATGGAACTCTCATAGGAAATTCACAGAAACAGTAGAACGTGTGAACTCCGTAAGAGGCTATCTGGAAAATCTAGACAGGAAAACCCTACAGGACAAAGGACCTGGATTCTCCAATTTTGAAAACTGCAGGAGAGGGGACTTACTTGGTGTTCCAGTGGTAAAGAATCCACCTTACAATGCCTGGGATGAGGGTTCGATTCCTGGTCGGGGAACTAAGATCGCACATGCCACGGGGCAACTAAGCCCACGCCCCACAACTACAGAGCTCTTGCGCCTCAACTAGAGAGCTCGCGTGCCACAAACTACAGAGCCCACGCGCCCTGGAGCCTGTGTGCCACAACCAGAGAGAGAAAAAACCCGAACGCCACAACTAGAAAGAGAAAACCTGCATGCCGCAACTACAGAGAAGCCTGCGCGCCGCAACAAAGAGATCCCGTGTGACTCAACGAAGATCCCGCATGCTGCAGCTAAGACCCGACGCAGCCAAAAATAAAATATAAATAAATAAATAAATAAATAAATAATAAATCTTTAAAAAAAGAAACAAAAACTGCAGAAGGAAAAAATTGAGGGGTAACCTGTAGATTATGAGACTTGGGAGTTATATCAATCAACTGCAGTGGATGGACATTTAAATTAAACCCTGATTTAACAAGCTGTTTTTTCAAAAAAATTTGCAGATAATTGGGGAAGTCTCAACACTGGCTAATGTTATATGATATTAAGAATTATTGTCTGTTTTTTAAAGTGTGATAATAGTACTATATTTTTGAAGTCCTTATCTTCTAGAGTTACAAACTGAAATATCTTCTGTAATAAAAAGTTAATTTAAAAAATTCTATGTAACTTTCTCATGCCTTTTCCCAGAAAAAAATTCTGCTGTTCTGAGCTGATGGGACAGATTTTTATTTTTATTTATTTATTTATTTATTTTTGAGATTAGCATTTATTTTATTATTTCTAAAAAATATTCATTCATTTATTTGGTCGCGCTGGGTCTTAGTTGCAGACGGCGGGCTCCTTAGTTGCAGCTCGCTGGCTCCTTAGTTGTGGCACGTGGGCTCCTTAGTTGCGGCAGGCAGGCTCCTTAGTTGTGGCATGCGAACTCTTAGTTGCGGCATGCACGGGGGATCTAGTTCCCTGACCAGGGATCGAACCTGGGCCCCCCTGCATTGGGAGCATGGAGTCTTATCCGCTGCACTACCAGGGAAGTCCCGGGACAGATTTTTAAATAAGAGTCTGACTTGGTTAATCATCTAAGGAGCAATTAGCTTCAACTCTGGCCTCAGTCTGCCAGAGTCTGAATCCTCGTTTATCAGCGGTGTGACGTCAGACAAATCACCTAATCTGTGACTCATCCTCTTCATCTGCAAAACGGTGACAATAATAGTACCCACACAGACCTGTGTGGCCAGATTTATCTTGATCTGTTTTACCTGTATATCATGATCAAAATTTAAGATGTACAATACCTGGGTGCCTCCTCCATAATTTGGATCTTACCAAATGTATCACAGATGGAGAAAGGCAGTAAAATACAGAAAAGGGCTCTGTTGGAACACTCATCAGTTCTTTTTAATTAATTTAATTCACTTCCACTGACCTGGAATCTCTTACATCAAAGATAAATGGCTGAGGGCAGGGTTCTAGAACTTGATCATGTGGCAGAATACTTGGAAGTCACCATAAAATTCTGATATACTAAACCGATGATAAAAAATGTCTTCTGCTGGGCTTCCCTGGTGGCACAGCGGTTGAGAGTCCACCTGCCGATGCAGGGGACGCGGGTTTGTGCCCCGGTCCGGGAAGATCCCACGTGCCGCGGAGCGGCTGGGCCCGTGAGCCATGGCCGCTGAGCCTGCGCGTCCGGAGCCACAACAGTGAGAGGCCCGCGTACCGCAAAAAAAAAAAAAAAAAAATGTTTTCTGCTAAATCTGATACTACCTTTCATTGAGTTCTGACGTGGTTGAACACTTGCAAATGCCAAAGACTTAGGAGAAAATTGCATAAGAAAAGACTCATTGTGAGAAAATTCTACGCATTATTAGTAAGCTTTCTCCCACAAATTGAGAAATCACCACTATTATTTTATCAATGAAACCCCACATTCCCCAGGAACGTGGCTTGAGAGCCAGTGTGTTAGAATACCCTGCCTCCTGTGTAAAAGAGACCGCTGCATCAGTCCTGTGCTATTCCTACCCAGGGCTTTCCCAACCTCGAAAGACCAAGAAAGACAATGTGTTACCAAGAAAACCCCCAAAAAGCCCAAATGAGTCCCCGGAATGGTCACCACAACATAAAACACTTCAACAAGCTGGTCCAAAGGGTAAACACACTCTTGTCCCTGCTGCTATCCGGTCCCCTCCCTCCTCTTGGATGAGAACCCTAAGTATGACGGGTGCTGGCGCTAGGCATCTGACAGGCCGTTAGGAGAAAGAAGGCAGGAAAACGCTAGCCCCTCAGGACTCTGGACTGCGAGGCAGGAGCCAGAGAAGGCAGGAAGAAAGGTACCTCCAGAGTTGCATCTTCGAGCAATCTCCCAGTACACGAGCCCAAGGGCGTAGATATCAGCGCACTTAAAGGAGTCGAAGTGCTTCATGTTAATGCTTTCATCAAGCACTTCGGGGGCCATGTATCTGCAAGAGCAAAAGAAATGTGATCACGCGGAGAAAATGATGACTTCCTTCTCGACTCAAAGTACTGACTCAAGGACCCCCTGAGTGTGGGACAGCATCACCCCAAGACAGCCCCTTGGGGAGGAGGAAGTGATGGATTCTTATTATTGCAAACTCCCATGCTTTGGATTCGAATCTAAACACCTTAGCAAGGTTTGGTAACACTAGCCTACTCTTATTTCTACCTCTATTTTTTAACCGCCAAGATTTATTTTAAGCATGTTTTGATTTCTTGGCAGAGGTATGTGTACTGTAGGCCACAGAGCAGGAACAGTACATAATATCTGGTTGCTACTGGGGGCTTGGACTTTATTCAGCGCAGCCAATAATGGGCTGAGCTTAAATTTCAGTCTGAACTTCTTTTGTTATCTTACCCGTGCAGGTAAGTGAGAATTAATTCTAGGTAGTCATCAGAGTCCCACTCAGTTAGTTCATGAGTACTGCTTGAGCCACTCCCCACTGCCCACAGAAGGCCAATCAGCTCACCTCAGGCCTCAAACTTTGGGGCCTGGGTGGCTGCAATCATTCAGGTCAAAAGGAAGGGGAAAAAAAGCAGCAGCATGATTAGTGAAATTCACTGATACTCAGCAGAGAAACAGCCCTCCTCTTGCATCCTATGAAAAGTTGCATTTCCAGCTCGTGAAGTCGACCTGGAGTCACAGTCAATCTGTTCCTTATTTCCTTTTTTTTTTTTGGCCATGCCATGCGGCCTGTGGGATCTTAGTTCCCCATCCAGGGATTGAACCCAGGCCCTCGGCAGTGAGTGCTCGGAGTCTTAACCATTAGGCCAGGGTATGCCACGTTCCTTATTTCTTATGTCACTTCTCTGTGACGCGGGGAGGAGGCCCATAATCCTTACGGGGGGCCCTCATCTCCACCCTGGCCTACCTCTGCTCTAGCTTGGCAAACCTGCTCTCTACACCCTAAGCAAAACATGCTCCCTGCCTCCTGTGGGGTCCTGCCCAGGCCACCCCTTCAGACTGCAACCTTTTCCCTCTCCCCCAGCCAAGCCTGGTGCCTGCCTCCCTTCTAAATCTTGCTCCAGGTTCTCCTTCTCCATGGCCTCCCCTGCCCAATGCACCAGCACCTATGGGTATAGGGTCCTCCGGAGCTGTGCCGCTGGCACTTGTATCTGCGCGATGCAACCTGTGTGGCTTTCCAGTGTGGGGAGCAGGTGTTCAATTCAACTGCCAGCTGTCAGGGAAAGGACCACACTGCCTTCTCCCACGCAGTTGGGCAAGGGCTACTCAGTACAAGTGTCGGGCAAGCGCGAAAGCCCAGGGCCTTCCTACCGTTTGGTTCCCACCCTCTGGTTGGGGGCAATGTCAATGGTGTCCGTGACTGCATCGTGACGGACAGCCAGGCCCAGGTCTGCGATGGCACACATGCCGTTTTTCTTCACCAAGATGTTCTTTGACTTTAAGTCTCGATGAGCAATTCCAGGCTTCCCTAGCAGAGGGGAAAAAAAAAACAGGGATCTATAAAGAAAGACAGTACCAGTGTTAAAAGCATAGTCTCTGTAGCCAGACGTATGGGTTCGAGTCCTCGTTTTGCTCCCCACTAACCCAGTAACCCTGGAAAGGCAACTTCACCTGTCTATGTATTGGTCTTCTCATCCATAAAATGAGACCAAACACCAGTACTTACTCCAGGGGAATGCTGTAAGGATTAAATGTACTGTATTAACTTAGGTAAGTCAAGAGCTTAGAAGGGCATGCGTATGAGCTAATATTACTATATTAATACTACTCCTGCTCGCCTTCCCTGAACTAACAAGCTGCTGTACAGAACTGCTGAGGACTTCAGAGAGAAGCTGCTATGCTCGCTAGGTTCTGAGAACCAAACAGGGGAGGTAAGGACTGCTACTTTCCCTGGAGAGCCTAGCAACAGGGTCAAACTTTCGTGGCTGGTTTTCTGTCACGGGCAGCAAGAGCTGCTGCCCAGTCGACCAGGCCCCAGGGAGCGATGTGCCACCTGCCAAGCCCCAGGAGCTCCCAAAGAGCTGATGTCAGGCAACAAGCAGGGGTGCCCGTGGTCACCTTCCTCCCCGAGGGCCCTCCTAGTTTAGTAGAGCCCAGTGTCTAACCCATCAAGCTGACCCACTGATGAGGGTGTGAACCTGCTAAACTGATGCTCGGTACAGTAGTTCCTTCGATTTCCTCAGTCCCTTCCTCTACCAGTGAATCGTGGGCGTCTGAGATGACCACTCAGTCAACGGCAGCCTCCCAACCAACAGCCACGCCAGTCCATCGGGGACAAACAACCAACACTTCCGTCAGGAGTCCCCCCGAGGAGCTCTGAAGGCAGAGGCACCTCTTGTTCTCGCTGGAGCGAGGCCCAAGCTCCTCTCGCTTAGACCAGACCCCAGTGCCTGAGGCCCAGATCCCGCATCCTCAGTGAGAAGGAGTTCTGGGAACTCGGTGGGGATGGGACAGGTCCACTCACCTTGGGTGCCCACAATCTCCATGTGCAGGTGTGCCAGACCGCTCGCGGCAGACAAGGCCAGCTTGATCATCCCCTCGATGGTCACCGTGTACCGGTTTAGATAGTCAAACAGGGAGCCGTGCTCATGATAGTCGGAGACAAGCCACAGCTGTGTCCAGGTGCCGTTATCTGCAGAGAGCCACAGAGCAGGTCCAGAAAAGGCACAACTATCAGCAAAAAGGTCAAGGTAGGAAAGGAAGAGTATGTGTGCAAACCCCAGTTAGACCCCTGTACTCCCCGCTCCCCGCCCCTACACCTCCTGAGGCCCCTCTGTGCCCGTCTCATCCACCACCGTCCACAGATTTAGGCTCCAGGAAGGACAGAACAGCCTTTCTTTCTTAGACCCGCTCCCTTACTTCTCGTAGGCAGGATTCTGAACCGCGTGCACCCTGATTACACCCAAATTTGAAATGCGAGGCACCCCAAAGAGGAAGCACATGCTTAGGCAAAGTAACAGGATCATCTGTTTCTTTTGTAACACTGCTTCTGATCCTGACAAGACCTGCTCATCAAAACCATGACTGGCCGCACCCACCCCCGCCAAGGAGGAAGGCTTCGCAGGCCCTCCTCTGTGCTCCAAGACCCTGCGAGCACGGCCCAACCCGAGCACCAGGCTCATTTGTAGCAGGTCCTTGAAGTCCACTCCTCTTACCAGGCTATGAGCTCTCTGTGAGAGGAGGAAAGAGCTCCTTTGCGCATTCTTGTGTTCCAGGCCAAAAATGCTTTTCAACGCATGAAGAGCACACTTATAAGTATGCCAGAGAGGAATCTTATCATCTCATCCTCAGAAGAGCAATGGGAGGTGGCGAGCACACACTTTCATACTAGGGGAGAGGGGTATGCAGTGTACAGTGGGCAGGAGGAGTGGGAAGAAGGGAGGGAGAAAAAGAAAAACCAAAAGCTGGTAGTCTAATTAGCTTGCGCTGCTGTCAGTAAGAAGACTGGGAAATTGGACTGAGATCGCCCAAATTCCAAGCTGGCCCTAGCTTCAGGACGCTATACTATCCGTATCATGTTAAACAGGCAACAACAAAGGAGTCCAAACTTCCTCCTCCCCTGGCCCTCGCGTGGGTTTCAACAGCCAGATCCTATTCACACAAGCTGCCAGAATCAATACAGGTCGTGGCTCCTGGAAAAGCGCCAGCCTCTGCCTCCCTGATTACGAACGAGGGGTCCACCGAACACACCCCTTTACACTCCACTAGCCCTGACATCTTGAGGACCCTGCCCATAAGTTAGAAGGGAAGACATCTTTTGACCCTTTAAAATATATGCCAGATTTAAATGAATAATCAAAAGGTAATGCTGTTTTCAAAAGGCACAGCTTACTCAGAGGGAGTAAGGAATTCTCTCTTCCCCTCCCTCCCTTGCGTGAGAGGTCAAGTCTCTTCAGCCTGGGGGCAGCTGAGGCCACTACAAACCGCCATGGCAATGTGAGGAATGAGCAGCCTGCTGTTGTTTTAGGAAGGAAAAACAAACACTTAGCATCTTCCATAGCCTTTGCCAGCACCAACTTCTAAAAATTACTGGACCACGGAGCAAACTGTGTCCTGACCACCGGAGACACTCTTCTAAAATGTAAATGCCTTCACCCACGGTCTTTCTGACTTCAAGTGGCGCTACCTGCCCGGGTGTCGGCTGTCCCCTCTTCCTGGGCACTGTAAGGTCAGGGACTGTGTCTTGTTCTTATACGTGACGATTCCAGGACCAGACAGCAGCCAGTGAATATTACTGAATAAATGAATGCAATTTCGATTACTACCCACTCTCTATAATAAAATACAATCCTCTCAAAAAGGCCCTTCCTAATCTGGCCTCTGCCACCTCTCCACCCATGTCTTTGGCTGGAACATCCCAAGTTACCTGCAGGTTCCCAAAGACACTTCCCCTTTGCACATGTGTCTGGAGTGCTCTTTTCATTCGTTTTTCTTTCTGACCAACTCCCTGCCACCTTCGCCTCAATCAAGCTCAGGTGTGGCATCTGTGATCCCCATCTCACCCCAATTTGTGCTCACCAGAACAGCTGTTGTTTGATTACTTCCTATAATCAATCATTAGTTTGTCTCTTTGCTAGTCAGTGAGGTCCTTAAAAATGAGCGCATGGGGCTTCCCTGGTGGCGCAGTGCTTGAGAGTCCGCCTGCCGATGCAGGAGACGCGGG